CTCTCCGGGCCTTGGAGGGGGCGAGGGGGTGGAGGAGCGGCCGGTCTCGTTGACGGGCTCGGCTCGCCTCCCTCCGGACCCTCACGCTCTGCCCCACCTCGGACGGCAGGAGCACAAAGTCCTCTTGACGGGCACCCCCCTGCAAAACACGGTGGAGGAACTCTTCAGCCTCCTGCACTTTCTGGAGCCCTCTCAGTTCCCTTCCGAAGCCGAGTTCCTCAAGGACTTTGGAGACCTCAAGACAGAGGAGCAGGTGAGCAGAAGAGCCCTCGGTGACCCCTTCCTGGACGTGCAGGTCCTGCCCTGCCCGTGCACCCACTCTTCCCCCTGCTCCCGGCCACAGGTGCAGAAGCTACAGGCCATCCTCAAGCCCATGATGCTCCGGCGGTTGAAGGAGGACGTGGAGAAGAACCTCGCTCCCAAGCAGGAGACCATCATCGAGGTGGAGCTGACAAACATCCAGAAGAAATACTACCGGGCCATCCTGGAGAAAAACTTCTCCTTCCTGTCCAAGGGTGCTGGCCACACCAACATGCCCAACCTGCTCAACACCATGATGGAGCTGCGGAAGTGTTGCAACCACCCCTACCTCATCAACGGTGAGGGGCAGGCAGGGCCTGGGGTCTCTGCCCCTTGTCCTCTCTCCAGCAGCAGCCCCAAGCAGACGCCTCGAGGGAGAACGTGGGTGACGAATCCCCCCGCCGCCCCGGGCCCCGCTACTTTCCCCTTTCGCCAGCGACTCTCGTCTTCCCCGTCCTCGTGCGGTCCGCAGAGCCGGCCTAACCGTCCCGGCGCGCTTGGCGTCACGGGGGAAGGAGTTCTCCGCGGCAGCTAGTTTGGCTTCGATGCCGCTTTGATGGGGGCGAGGGGGCTCCCCGAGAAGGTCGCCTGCGCAGCCTCGGTGCCCCCTCCACCTCCGTGACGGTCCCGTTGGCCCCCCGCAGGCGCGGAGGAGAAGATCCTGGCCGAGTTTCGAGAGTCGTGCCACCACCACGTGCCCCACGACTTCCACCTCCAGGCCATGGTGCGCTCGGCCGGCAAGCTGGTGCTCATCGACAAGCTGCTGCCCAAGCTCAAGGCCGGCGGCCACAAGGTGCTGATCTTCTCCCAGATGGTGCGGTGCCTCGACATCTTGGAGGACTACC